CACCAAGCTGGGCTGAGGTGAACAATGCTACCATGTAATGTGTCTGACTGCATCATTGTAATATCTCTCATGCTCTCGATGACTTTAATATAATACTTATATATTTCAACCATATAATTGTGCATTACTGAACCCGTGATTAGCGGTGGGGGCTGGCCCCCCATCTCACCTCTAAACATTTTAATTTAATACTACACATAATTATCTACCTTGGTGTTGAAAAAGCATCTAACACACTTTTATTATAGAACACTCAAAACTAGTCACAGAAGGGAAATTTCTCAGCATGATAAAAGGACATTTATGAAGAATTCACAGCAAATATCGTGCTCAATGGTGCACAAGTGGAAGCTTTTCACTTAAAGATCAGGAACAAGAAAAAGATGCTCTTTTCACAACTGCTGTTCAACATTGTACTAGATGGTCTAGCCAAAACATAAGAAGAAATCAAGGCATTGTTATTGAAAAGGAAGAAGGAAACTATTCAAAACCGACACAATTCCTTATGTGTGTGTATAATATATAGATAATATCCCTAGAAATCTGTCAGCAATCCACTAGTAATGTTTATAAATATATTCAGCAAAGTTGTAGAATATACAATCAGTTGATAAGAATCAATTGTGTTTCTATACACCAGAAATGAAAATCTGAGAAAGAAATTAAGACAATAATTTTATTTATAATAGCATCTGAAAGAAGAAAATACCTAGAAGTAAACTAAGCCAAGCGAGTGAAAGACTTGTGCACTGAAAACTACAAATTACCCGGCTTGATCGCCCGCCCTGGACCCCCCTCCCTGCCCCGCAACACACACACACACACACACACATACACACCGGGGCAAAACACAAAGGGTGTGCATCAGAGCAGCAAAGAGAGCAAAGCAATGAAGTCCCCAAGGAATTAAAAAAATACTTTGTGGGGCAGGGCTTGGCAACTCATCAGACTCAGAAAATATTCACAAGGGTCAACAGACAGACCTGGAACTATTTGTAGGCTTTTAAAAAAAAATGTCTACATAAGATAGGCAGGATAAATACACCCTTGATAGTCTCAACCATGTAAAGTTCTGGTCTATGCTATATAAAATGGTTGAACCTTGAAAATATGCTGAGTGGTGCCTACCTCCCTGATACGATCACTGAAGACAAATGTGTGCATAAGCAAATGTGTTGAAGAAAGCTGATGGTGCCTGGCTATCAAAAGTTAAAGCATCTGGGGTCTTAAAGACTTGAAGATAAACAAGTGGCCATCTAGCTCAGAAGCAACAAAGCCCACATGGAAGAAGCACACCAGCCTGTGTGTGACCATGAGCTGTCGAAGGGATCAGGTATCAAGCATCAAAGAACAAAAAATCATATCATTGTAAATGTGGGTGAGTGCAGAGTGGAGACTCAAAGCCCATTGGTAGGCAACTGGACACCCCCTTGTGGGGAGGAGATGAGCCAGTCAGGGTGCAGGGTAGCAACAATGAAACATATAACTTTCCTCTAGTTCTTAAATGCTTCCCCTCTCCCCCACTATCATGATCCCAATTCTACTTTACAAATCTGGCTAGTCCAGAGGATGTACATTGGTACAGATAGCAACTGGAAACACAGGGAATCCAGGACAGATGACTCCTTCAGGACCAGTGGTGAGAGTGGCGATGCCTGGAGGGTGGAGGGAATGTGGGGTGGAAAGGGGGAGCTGATTACAAGAATCTATCTATAGCTTCCTCCCTGGACAACAGAGAAAAGGGTGGGGGGGGAGACGTCGGACAGTGTAACATATGACAAAATAATAATAATTTATGAATTATGAAGGGTTCATGAGGGAGAGGGGAGGGGGAAGGGAGGGGGGAAATGAGCAGCCGATATTAAGGGCTCAAGTAGAAGGCAAATGTTTTGAGAATGATGATGGCAACAAATGTACATATGGCATGACACAATGGATGTATGTATGGATTGTGATAAGAATTGTACAAGCCCCCAATAAAATGATTTAAAGAAAAAAGAAAATATGCAGAGTGAAATAAACCAGTCACAAAAGGGGCTAGTACTGTATAATATCTAGGTAAGGCAAGTTCACAGAAACAGATTAGAGTTTGACCAGGAACTATGATGATTTAAAAGGTTTTTTGGTTTTTAAAGATAATGGTGATAGCCATGCAACATTTTGAGTGTAATTAATGGCATCGAATTGTGCCCTTAGAAATGGTAAAATTGGCAAGTTTTATGTATATTTTACCACGAAATAAATTTGTAAGATATAGTGATGAAAATGTTATTAAATTTTTTAAATAGCAAAAGTCATGTACATTTATCACAATATAATTAAAAGTAGTATTAAATATATTATTTCAAACATCTCTCAATGACTTTATCGTCATTACAAATAGCAATTTCAGCATTTAACTTGCTATTTACAGTAAAGGACACTTGAGTAGGAAGAATAATAGGTGTTCTTTCACTGGTAATATCTCTTGTCTTGATATAATTCCAAGTTGTTTTGATTATTGTAGCTGTAAGTAAGCTTTGAGGTGGGAAGTTTGAGGCATCCTTCTTTGTTCTTCAGTATTGCTCTAGCTTTTCTGTTTCATTAAAGAATGTTGGGATTTGGATTGGGATTGCATTTTATCTATAGATCATTTTGGGTAGTATTGCTATTTTCCCAATGTTAAGTCTTCCAATCCACGAACACAAGATGCTTTCTCATTTATGTTTGTTTCTTGTAGTAATGCTTTATAATGTTCCTTGTATATGTCATTACTGATCCTGGTTAGGTATTTTATCCTTTGGAAGATTATTATAAATGGTATTATTTTCATATTTCTCCTTTTCAAGTTCTCCCAGTTAGTGTAGAGGAGTCTGTGTTAGTCTGGGTAGACTAGAGAAACAAATTCATAGACATTCTTATGTGTATAAGAAAGAGCTTTATATACAAGAGCAGTTGAATACTGAGAAAACATTCCAGTCCATATCAAATCCATAAGTCCAATATTAGCCCATATGTCCAATACCAATCTATAAAGTCCTCTTCAGACTCCCGAAACACATGCAATGATGTGGAATGCAGGAAGATCACAGGCCAGTGGGTGGGAAGTCTTGTGGAGCCAGTGGCATTATAAGCATCTCAGTGGTGGCAGGGGTCTCCACATGAACTTCTCTAGCTCCAGAGGTCTGGCTTCCTTCCCTCTCTCCATGTGTCTTCTCCACAGGGATGTTTTGCAGGGAGTGAGGAGAGAGAGAGAGAGAGAGAGAGAGAGAGAGAGAGAGAGAGAGACTGACTCCTGCCTCCAAGGAGGAAATACAGAAGTTCCCAGAATCTTCAGGAGAAAGGCCATGCCCACACAAAGGCCTTACTGACTATATCCTGATTGACAGTTGAAACTCCACCCCTTCACTCTTAATCCTCAAATTGACACAAGATTATGTAACTCCCACAGAGCCCAACTGATTTTTGTGTGTTGCTCTTGTAGCCTGCCACTTTACTGAATCTTCTATTAGTCCAGTAGCTTTCTTGTGATGTCTATCATTTTCTAAGTCTAGAAAGTACCATGTCATCTGTGAATAAGAATAATTTTACTTTTTCCTTTCCGATTTGTAGAACATTTCCCAACTTATTGGGAGAAAAAGGGACTTTTTACTCCCATGAAGAGTATGGGTGGATTTGGGGCTTGTACTTAATTCTAGCCCCAATCCAAGGATAACTAGGGGAAAGGGAAGTTGGGGGGAAATAGGGAGCTAGTAATAGTGAGTGCAAGAAAGAAGAAAATGTTCTAAAACTGATTGTAGTAATGATTGTACAACTCTTCTTGATATGATTGAACTATTGAATTTTATGATATGTGGCTTATGTGCCAGTGAAACTGTTTAAGAACAAACAGATTTACAGTCTCGGAAACCCCCAGAGGCAGTTCTACTCTGTCCTGATAAGGTCACTGTGAGTCAGAATGCATTCAGGGCAGTGAGGTTGATTTTCAGTGTGTACTGGCTACGACTTCCAGTACAATAGTGACTGAGTGGCTTCATTACCATCATCTCCTGACTTAATGCCTCGTGGTGAGTGTTTACGTTCCTCACAATTTCCTGCCTTTGTAGACAGAGCATCCTTGTTACTAATCCTTTTTTTTAATAGTTTTATTGACACTTCATCCACATATCATATAATTCACTAGTTCAATCATATCAAGAAGAGTTGTACAATCTTTAACACAATCAATTTTAGGACATTTTCTTATTTTTAAAAATAATTTTATTGGGGGCTCATATAACTCTTATCACAATCCATCCATCTATCCATTGGTACATTTTCTTTTTCCCCAATAATAATAATAATTCATTGTTATTCGTGCAATTATTTTTTCAATATTGGCAAAAATGTACACAAAAAGACATTCTCCAATTCAATAACTTCTACTTGTAAATTTCACTGCCATTGATTATACGCTTCATGTTGTACAATCATTATTGATATCCCTCTCCAAACTATTCTACCACCTTTAATATGAACTCAGTGCCCCCTAAGCAAAACCTCTTCCTCCTTCACTTGGAGTTCCTAATTCTTTGCTTGTGTTCTGTTTCTTTTTTGTAATGGATTCCTAAGAACAAGTGAGTTTTCTGGACAGGAAATCCACAGGAGAAGACCACAGCCACGTCACCCATGTTGATTCTAAGGGGACAGTCAGGCTTGGGCTGTTAGCATCATGTGTCCTCCGACAGTTAGTTGGGTGTCATCCGATGCCATCCTTGGGGTTATGGCACAGATTCTCAATGTGACTAACGGTATTATTGGGCTCCTCAAATTGCAGGGCAAGTGGTAGAATAGAAACAAGCCCATTGTTGGCTACCAGGGAAACGGAATCCTGAGTGTGGAGGGCACAAACATTCTCTTTTAGTGAAAGGAAAACAATTGGTGCTTTTACAAGATGTTCGTCATCCACCTGTGCCTCAGGTGCCCAACCGAATAAGGCCAGTCGGCCTCTTGGGGAAGGGGCAGTGCAAGTGGATGACTGGGGTTTGGCTGTCAGCTGCTCGGTTCTGCCTGTTTGCCACTGAGGCTCAGCTCTGCCAGTGTGCGTGCCCTCTGCCCTCTCTGCCCCGGGCTGGACTAACACTCACTCCAGCGGAGGGGTTTGGTTTCGCTTTTGACTCCTTGCGAGCGTTCCACCGTGGTGAAGTGTGTTCTCTCCTTTTTTCTCACAGAAGAAGAAGCACAGGAAGCATAAACACAAAGGCAAGCAGAAGACTCCAAAAGCCGAGAAAAGTAGTAGTTCTGAGAGCACTGGCAGCAGTGACAGTCTGAGTGACGACGAAGGGGCTGCAGCCATGTCACCCGAGGAGCTCCTCAGACGGTAGGGCAGGGGGGAGGGGGGCGGTGTAGTAGGAGCCAGTCAAAGGCTCATTGAACGTTTGATGTAATTAATTGTAAAATTATGCTCGATCTAACTGAATTATGGATTGTTATAATATCTGTAAGAGCTCCCAATGAAATGAGTTTTTAAAAAGTTTGATGTAATTATTTAGAGGCAAATATCAAAAATGGCAAGTTTGTATTTTCACTAAGCCTTTAAAAAGAAGTTAATTTTTCATTATGTAAATTATATGTGAAAATCCAAACCTTACAAATAATTTTAACGAATTCCTTGACCATTTCCTACAGGGTAGCCTCTAGCCAGTTCTTAAGTAAAAGAAGTTTTTTCTGTGACCAGCTGTGCTCTGTCACTTAAGCAACACTCCTAAACTCTATATCTGGTTCTGCAGTTCATGATAATGGCTGTGGAAGTCATGGTAGCCATGGTTAAAGGGTTTATCAATGAAGTTAATAAGTTGAAATGCAAGTGAGAAATACTCAGGATGCAGTTTTTCATCAGGACATGTTGCAAAGTTCTTTCAGGGCTGTAAATGAATGCCCAAAGGACATGTCACCCCTCTGTCAACCTCAACTGAAAGCATTCAGCTCAAGTACCAGGAGTCAGCAAGCCCAGCTCCCTGATTTAAGTGCCCAGATGCACCCTACCCCAAAGCCAGCCTCCTTCCCCCAAGCACTCAGCTGTACTTCCTCTGTGGCTGGGAATTTTATGGCCCTGGTTCATGCTTTGACTCCTGGTTTTGCTACCGCTCCTCTGATACCACATCTGTCTTCTGGATCCAGGAGTTCACTGCACAGGGATCTCAGATCCACAGGCCATGCTCTCTTGGCTCTTGTTGGTAGTATGATCCCCTCTCATGGCTCTCAGAGGGCTCATTTAACACCAGAAGGATGACAATGACAATAAATCCCGTTCACAATGAGTCACAGGTGAATCCTATTAGTGTCTTTCCCTATATTCTTACCCAGACCCATGCATGAATAAAAAGATTGTTTGGTGGGAGTTAGAGACTGTCTAAAAGAGCCACGTTAAAAAATTCAGTGTCCCTCACACGTAACATGAGCATATGAGCACATTCACATTTTGGTATACACTTTAATGTAAATAGTTTTATGCAGCATAAGTTTGTAAGGAATGAGCATTTAGAATGAATAAGTACTGTCAAATCATTTTTCAAAAGTGATTGTATCCATTTAAATTATAAAAGCACCTTGTTATCACATAATTTAAAAATTTAAAAATATTTGCAAGTAAATCCAACACCATTCCTAATAAAAACACTCACCAAAATAGGAGTAGAAGGGAACTCCCTCAGCAGAATTAGACAGTGGCCAACATTGGGCTCAGTGCGGAGTGACTGAACGTGTTCCTCTTGCAATGGGAACCAGACGAGGATCCCTTCATCACTGCTCCTGGTCAGCATTGACCTGGAAGTCGACGTAGCCAGAGCAGTACGATAAGGGAAAGAAAAGGCATTTGAATTGGCAAAGAGGAAGTAAAACTACCTGTGTTTGCAAATGATATGATCCTGTACATAGAAAATCCCAAAGAATTGGCAAGAAAATGACTGAAACTAGTTGACAGATTAAGCGAGTGGCAGGGTACACGATTGACAGAGGAAATTCAGACATTCCTTTGAACCCACAAAGAGAGCTCTACCAAGGAAACCAGGAAAAAATCCCATTCACCATTAGCCAGCCAAAGATTAAATACTTAGAAATATATCTAACTAGAGATACAAAAGGCCTACATAGGAAAACACAAAACACTTCTACAAGAGTTCCCTCTTGGAATAAGCCTCTGGTAAGTCCCCTCTGACCATTGCCCAGGGATATGACGAGCCTTGCTGTCAGCCAGCATGTATTGGAAAGGATACAAATCTAGGTTAAAATTTAACACCTTATCATGAGCTCTCCCTTTGGCCCATTTAAAATGTATTCTAGTTTTTATTCGTTTCTGTTATCTTTTCATTTAAGGGTTTTCAATGTCTTACTTTGTTATTGTTATTATTATCAGTTTTTCTTTATATGAAATCCAGGATCAGTAACTCCATAGAGACAGTAACTCCCAGAATAGTTTTTTGAGGTTATGGCAGGGGAGCTTTGTGGAAAATAGAGAGCTATTATTAATGAGTACCAAAAAGAAGAAAAGGTTCTAAAATAGATTGTGGTGATGATTGCACAACTTTTTAATATGTTTAAGCTATTGAATTGTATGTTAATTTTATGTAAAAAATAAAATTGTTAAAATTTAGAAACAACAGCTAGGACGATGTTTGTCGGCCAAGAGCCTGTAGAAAATATGGTTCTTAATGTGAAACTATACAAGTATATCTTTTAAAGTCAAGATTAAAGGCAGCAAAGACTATTATCAGCAAAAACAACCACAAGAGACTTGAATATTAAATAAAAGGATATATCCTTTTGGATATATGGATAGAAAGTCTTAGCATTGTGAAAATGTTAGTATTATCCACAGCAATGTATGGATATAATGCAATTATGATCCAGATTTCAATATTATCTAAAGAGAGGAAGAATAATCACCAACATTATATGGGAAAGAAAGAGACCCTGAATAAAGCCGTACTAAGGAAGAAGAACATGTACGGCACCCACACATCCTGATCTCAAAACTTACTACATAGCCACAGTAGTCAGAACAGCTTGGTACTGGTGCAACACATAGACCATTGTCATGGATTGAGAACCCAAACGTAAATCTACCCACTTACAGACAGCTGATCATTGACAAGGGGGCAACATTTATTAAGTAGGGGAAGAGATGATCTCTTTAACAGATGGTGCTGGTAAACTCAAGTGGATGAAAGACCTAAATGTAAAACCTAAAAATTTAAAGACCATCAAAGAAAAAAATAGGGACAAGCTTCAAAACCTCTCACTGCCATGGAGTGACTTCTGAGTCATAGTGACCCGCAGGGTAGCACTGCCCCATAGGTCTCCAAGGCTGTAAGTCTTTCTGAGAGTAGACAACATTATCAACGGGTGGTTTCGAACTGCTGATCTTGTGGTTGGTCATCCAAAAAGTAACCTACTATGCCACCAGGGCTCCTCAGAAACAGACTTAGGGGCCCTAATACATGGTGTAAATACACTCTCCAACATAACTTAGAACACACAAATGCTAGAAGACAAAGTAGATGGCTGAGACCTCTTAAAACGTGGACACCTCACTGTCAAATGTAACACCAAAAGAATAAAAAAGGAACCCTCACATGGGTTGAGGGGTGGGAGAGGGATTCTTTTCTCAGTGACGTATTGGAAGGGACTGGTCTCTAACATTTACAGAAAACTGCCTCAAGAAGAAAAAGGACAAATGATCCAAATGAGAAATGGGCACAGAACAGAGCAGCAAAGAAGACATTCAGGGGGCCAGCAAACACAGGAGGAAATTGTTGTTCGGGGCCATCAGCTTGGGACCCTGTGCACAACCGAACACAACACGGTCCGGTCCTGTGCCATCCTCACAGTTGTTCCTGTGCCCGAACCCATTGTCGCAGCCACTGGGTCAGTCCATCTCATTGAAGGCCTTCCTCTTTCTTGATGCGCCTCCACTTTACCAAGCATGATGTTCTTCTCCAGGGACTGGTCTTTCTTGACAACATGCCAAAGTATGTAAGTAGAAAGCAATTGGAGAGATGCAAATCAAAAAAGCAATGAGAGATCATCTCACCCAGCAAAGTTAAAAAAATAGAAAAAACAAATGCTGGTGAGACTGGAGAGACTGGAACCTTTAGACAATCTTTTTTTTTTTTTTTCCTTTAGACAATCTTGGTAGGCCTATAAAATGGTACAAACACCAGCATGAAACAGGGAACCAGTACAGAGGTCTGACAGGCCAGCCCCAATACCAACTATGTAGCCAGCCACCACTCCCCCCAGAAGAATTTACTTCAGAGGACAGCACTGAAGCTACAGCTCAGGGAGAGGACATGTCTGATCAGAGCACATGGGAATCAAATGAAGGGGGAGGAAGAGAGAGTGGAGTACATCCTGGCCCACCAAGCCTTGAATAGACAATGCACAGAGGACCATATGGCTGGCCCCACTATGAGACACACCATCCCTACAGGGGACAACACTGGAGACATGGTGTGGGAATCGCGCCTGATCTGACCCCACCACACCAAGGCAAAACACTAAAGGCGTGCAACAGAACAGCAAGAGGAGCAGAGCAAGGAAGTCCCGAGGAAATACCAAAAATAAACTTTGGGGCCAGGGCATGGCATCCCATCAGACTCGACTGAAAACATTCCCTGAAGGTCAACAAACAGACCATGAAACTATTTATAGGCTTTTCTTTTTTTTTTGTCATAGTTTTTGTTGTTGTTTTGTTTTGCTCTGTCTTGTTTTTGTGCATATTATTATTTCTGCAGGTCTATCTAGATAAGACAGACTGGATAAACAATCTGGAGTAGAAAACAACAGGACCGACGACAGTTCCTGGGGGACACGGGAGGGAAAGAGGTGGGGGGAAAGGAAGTGGTGTTAACAAACCCAGGGACAAGGGAACAACAAGTTATCCGGGGGATCAGTGGCGAGGAGGGTGTAAGAGGCCTGGTGGGGCTTGGTCAAGGGCAATGTAACCAAGAGGAATTACTGAAACCCAAATGAAAGGTGAGCATGATAGTGGGACAAGAGGAAAGTAAAAGGAAATAGAGGAAAGAACTAGGAGGCAAAGGGCATTTATAGAGGTATAAATACAGGCATGTACATATGTAAATATATTTATATATGAGGATGGGGAAATAGATCTATGTGCATATATTTATAGGTTTAGTATTAAGGTAGCAGATAAACATTGGGCCTCCACTCAAGTACTCCCTCAATGCAAGAATACTTTGTTCTATTAAACTGGCATTCAATGTTGCTTACCTTCCCAACACAATTGCTGAAGGCAAATGCATGCATAAGCAAATGTGTTGAAGAAAGCCGATGGTGCCTGGCTATCAAAAAATATAGTGTCTGTGTTCTTAACGGCTTGAAGGTACACAAGTGCCCATCTAGCTCAGAAGCAACAAAGCCCACATGGAAGAAGCACACCAGCCTGTGTGATCATTAGGTGTCAAAGGGATCAGGTATCAGGCTTCAAAGAACAAAAAAATCATATCATTGTGAATGAGGGGGAGTGTGGAGTGGGGACCCTAAGCCCATCTGTAGGCAAGTGGACATCCCCTTACAAAAGGGTCACGGAGAGATGATGAGCCAGTTAGGGTGCAGTGTAGCAAGGATGAAACATACAACTTTCCTCTAGTTCCTAAATGCCCCCCCCCCACTATCATGATTCCAATTCTACCTTACAAATCCCACTAGACCAGAGGATGTACACTGGTACAGATAGGAAATGGAAACACTGGGAATCCAGGACAGATGATCCCTTCAGGACCAGTGCTGTGAGTGGCAATACCGGGAAGGTGGGGTAGAAAGAGGGAACCTCTAACAAGGATCTACCTATAACCCCCTCCCCAGGGGACAGACAATGGAAAAGTGGGTGAAGGGAGGTGCCGGACACTGTAAGACTTGACAAAATAATAATAATTTATAATTTATTAAGGGTTCATTGGGGGGCGGGCAGGGAAGGAGGGGAAAAATGAGCTGATACCAAGGGCTCACGTAGAAAGCAAATGTTTTGAGAATGATGAGGGCAACAGATGTACAAATAAATGTGCTTGACACAGTGGATGTAGGTATAGATTATGATAAGAGTTGTATGAGCCCCCAATAAAATGATTAAATAAATAAATTTTAAATAAAATAAAATGGTGCAACCACAGTGGAAAATGATATGGCACTTCCTTAAAAAGTTGGGACTATTAGTACTATATACACATAATGCTATTATGTGTATATCTTAGAGAAATAAGAACCCTGGCAGAAATAGATGTATTCACATCCATGTGCATTGCGGCACTATTCACAATCACAAAAAGATAGAAACAACCTAAATGCCTATCAATAGAATAATAGATAACCTATGGTATATACAGTGCCCTGTGCAACTATTCATCTCTCCTTATCCAGATCAAAGAAGAGTGAAGAAAATGAAAGATACATGGAAACATTTAGTCCAGGGATTAATATCCCATATGACTACCACTACCAACCACTCTGGAAGGGATCATATTAGAACAGTGTTTCCAGAGTGGGTGATAGTACCCCCTGGGGGCACTGGAACCACCCGGGGGCTGCAGAAGCAGATAACTATACTTTATCCTGAATTGTGTATTATGCTATACACGTTTTTAATTGCCAGTGGGGCACAGAGTGATTTTTATTAAGGGGATGGTAAGTTAAGTACGTTTGAGAACCTATGTATTAAAAGGAGAGAAGAACGTGGTACAACACTCAAAACCATCGAAAGACCAGATGTACTTGTCCGTAGAGACTGGTGGAACCCCTTAGCTGATGGCCCTTTTTCAGTCAAGCGGTGGACAGATCTCCAAGGTAGACAGTAACACGTGTGAGGTAGGCACTCCTTGGAATAATCAACCATGTGAGCTCAAAGGGGCAAAGATGGGTGCAGAAGGCAGGAAGGGTTAGGAAAAATGGAGGACTAGAAACAGCAGACACGAGGAGGAAGTGGGAAACAGGAAATACAGGGAACAAGTGGGAAGAGTCAATGTAAAGACTGCATTTGATGACATGAAACAGCATGTGTATGAATTTTTTAATGGAAAACTGATTTGCATTGTAAGCCATCACCCAATTTACAATAAAAAGTTAAAAGATTTGCTAGTATGATGGGTTAGAAAAAATATTTCTTTTAGGCTTCATTTCCCTGATTGCTAATGAGGCTGGACATCATTTCCTGTTCCTGAGGCTCGGTTTACTGTCCATGTCCTTTGCTTGACTTTCTGTTGGGTCGTTTGATTGATTGATTTAGGTTAGTTCTTAAAGCAGACATTCTGCTTTCCTGTCACTGGGTTTGCCCACTCTAGCATCCCGTAGACACGGGACCACACTGTTACGCAGACTGCTTGCTCATTACGCCTTGGAAGAAGCAGGAGTAGACCAGCGCCCCAGAAGCCCTCTCCCCGTTATCTCTGGTCCGCCCTCCCCAGCTCCGCTCTTCCCCACAGGGGTCCCTATTCCTCTTCATCCTGGCACTGTGGCTTTCCCTTGCCCATTTGTATTTTCCCCTTCAGTTTTTGATTATTAAAAGAGCCCTGTGGCAAGGACTGCATTGTGAGGCTTGTGAGACGCCTCTGCCTGATCCCAGGCAGCAAGTGCTTGTTCCTTCTGGCCTCTCTGGAGTGCACCTTTGGATGGGACCCCACAGTGTGTCTACGCCACCTGCTCCACAGCTGTGTACATCTGGGCTGCCACGTGGGGGCCATGATGAATGGAGCTCCATCCATCATTCTGTGTGTGTGTGTGTGTGTGTGTGTGTGTGTGTGTGTGTGTGAGAGAGAGAGAGAGAGAGAGAGAGAGAGAGAGACAGTCTTACAATTGATACCTCAGCTTCTGGCCTTGGAATGAACCCATTTTTCTGCTCTGGTCCCAAAGGCCTATGAGAAATGTGGAAGAGAGTGAAACCAGGGTTCGAGCTGGCCCTCTGTCCACACAGTTCCCACTGCAATGTGTGGGGGGGAGTCTCCTGAGTGGGTTCTGGGGCAGCAGACTATGCACTTGAAGAACACAGATGGACTGAGGTGTTCACCCTGGATGGGCATCCCTGATGCATTATGGGTGGCAGCCTGCCCTGGGCCTCAGGAGGGAGGCCCTGAAGGTGCTGTTGGGTTTCCCAGCTTGTATCTAACTTTCCCCTCTCTCCTTTTTTTCCCTTTTCAGGCTGAAACGTCTTCCACTAAAGAGGCAGTGACGTAATCCCATGTTGGCCGGCCCCCATAAGATCTCCTCCATGATGGAAGATCATTGATTGTACAGATTGTATTTATGTAAATTCGTGGTCTAAAATAATTTTTAGAACCTTGACATTTCAAAGGCTGCCTTCGAAGTTGTAGATATTGATTTCTATTTTTAACTTCAGAAAGTGTTCCCAGGGGAAAAAAATTCAGTGTACGCTTTAATTCATTAAAATGGACTTTTTGTATTTTTCGCTTGGGTTTTTGTTTTGTTTTGTAATTTTCTTGGGACTGTAAACAGAAATTAAACATGAGGGTTTCCCCCTGGTTGTGTTATGAAGGAAGCAGAGTCCACACAAAGGCCTGGGGGATTCTTTTAGTGCAGGTGTCTTGTGGTTGATGGCAGTGGCCAGAAGCCCCGTGGGTGTCACAGAGCCAGGCTGACACCATTTCAGATGAGCAGCACATTTTTCTGCACAGTGAAGAGGAGAGCATGCACCTCCCCTGGGACCACGCCAGCTCGAGACCCCACTCTGAGGGGCCTCATCTGCACTGACAAGACCTTAAAAAAATAATAAAGTGCCTTTGTTGTTTACATTACAGAAGTAACATTAATCAAAACTACTTAAAAGGAAAAACCAGTTCTACCTCAGAGATGACGACCCTAGTGCTTTGGAACAATTCTTTCCATCTTTTCGTAGCTTGGAGTGTTTGCCTGATCTTACTTTTGCTAGCCTTGGGGCAAACAGGTACCCTCCTGTCCTTAGAGAGTCTGTGTACTTGCCTCTGACCACGGCATCCGATTCCCAGCGCCGTTTCGCAAACACCTTGCTGCTTTCTCTGTTGGCCACGGAGCAAATTGGCAGGTGCCCCTAGGCAGGCAGGGGGCACGCAGGACCCGCACGCGGCGAGCAGGAAGATGGGAGCGTGGTTTTACCGTTTGACATGCTTCGCCTCATTCTTGTGCTTTTAACTTGAAGGCCCCTCCCCCTGCTGCTTTTATTATATTATTGTTATTATTGCGATTTTCATGAGACCCTTGTTGTTAACCCAGTAGGAAGGAGTCCTGGTGGTGTAGTCGTGGTTATGTATCGGGCTGTTAATTGCAAGGTCAACAGTTCTAAACCACCAGCTGCTCCACTGGAGAAAGATGAGGCTTTCTACTCCAAGGCTTGGAGTCTCAGAAATTCCCTGGGGCAGTTCTACGCTGCCCTGTAGCGTCACCATGAGTCGGAATCGACTTCATGGCGGTGAGTTTTGGGGAGGCAGGAGGCAGCCACGCGCTAGGTGGGTCCCAAGGGCCAGGCGCGGGTGGGCCCCAGGGGCGCGCGGCGCCACCGTTTATGGCTAGGTGATGGCTTCCCAGAAGTCGAGCGCTTCTAGCTCCCAGAAGACCACAGGCGTGGGTGAAAAGTTTGTGCCCCAGCACTATGGAGTGTGGCTGCTGCCCTCGATCCTCGCCCGCAAGTGGCGGTCCCACACGCTGCCCTGGCACACCGTGGCCAGAGCCTATGGCTACTTCAAGCTGCCCATCATGGAGCGCCAGCTGCAACTGCTGAAGACCCTGGACCCGCTGGACATCGGCAGGGCCTCGCCGGCGCCTGCGGGGCCAGCGGAGCTGGAGAAGCCGTCCTGGGGCGACCAGGAGCTCCTCTCCAAGGTCAGCGCCCCTCTTTGGGGGAGGGTTGGTGGCCTGTTCCCCACACGCGGGGTGGTCACCCGCGGCTGCGACCCATGAAGTGACGCTGTGGGCCTGGCCCCGGCCCGTGGCAGCTCCTAAGTGGGACTTCGGCAGATTCAGCAAAGGAGAAGTTGGTGGGGCCCGGGGGCGTGGGCACGGGCACGGGGGACACAACTGCTGGCCAGAGGAGACCCTGTGTCAAAGCTGTGGGACAGTCCCAGCGCAGACCTTATTGTGGCCACTGGCCGCGACACGCCAGGAGTAAAAGAGCCCTCCAGGCCCCGAAACAGCTTTGGAAGCCACAAAAATGGGGGACACTTAGTCCTCCTCACTTTGCATTCTCAGTGCTGTTCATGAGGAGACTCCATTGATAAAACGCCCAGCTAGAATGATCAGACAATATGCAACTGGGAGTTCGAAACCAAACCCTGCCACGGACACTTTAAATACCAGAGCAGAGAACTAGAGAACCAGTTCGTGGAATCCCCCAGATGGCAGGCATAAAACAGAAAGGTGCATTAATTATGAGAGGAGATGAGACTCCTTACAGGAATAGGAAGCTTCATCTTTTCTCCCTGAGCAGTGGCTGGTGGGTTTGAACTGTTGTCCTTTAGGTCAGCAGCCCAATTCATAACCAGCTTTGCCAATGGGACTCCTTAACATCTCTCTCGAAGAAAACCAAATTCTCTGCCATCTAGTCAATTCTGACTCAGGACAGGGCAGAGCTGCGCCTGTGAGTTTCAGAGACTTTGTCTGGTCTTTCTCTGGGCTTTCTCCCAAGGAAGGGCTGGTGGTTTCAAACTACTGACCTTGTGTTAGCGACCCAACAAGTGTCCATTCCACCACTAGAGCTTCCTGAGAAGGATCTCACACATACTCACGTCAATTCTGACTCATCATGATGTGAGAGAGGCCCTACAGAACAGGGCAGAATTGCCCCTGTGGGCTTCTGCAACTGTAATTTTTAATGGGAGTAGAAGTCGTTTCTTCCTCCTGCGCATGTGGTTAGCAGCCCAACTCCTTTCCTGCTACACCTCGGGGGCTCCTTGGACCGAGCGGGAGAGGGGAAGCAAGAAGAGCTGCAAAGACAATGTCCCAGAGCCGGGAGAGCCCTGCTGAGTGACAGGTGCTGGGAGAGGAGGAAAGGCCTTCCCACCCCAGACTGATGTGCAGGTTTCTCCCAGCTGCTGGGGCGGTGGCGTTCCCTGCAAGGATTATCCAGTGGCTGGCACAACCCTGCCCTGTCCACCAATTGGGTGCTCCCCAATGTAGCACCTGTGTGAAAAGATATCAAAACTGTGTCCCCAGGCTTAGCTGTGCTTTTAGTCCTGATATTTATTTTTAATATTTAAGTAAAAGGAGAGCCCAAGAATGGTGGTTTGTTGCTGTGTGTTCTTTCTTTGTATTGTCCATCAAACATTTCCAAGTTTCAACTTCAAAAGATACAGAAGTGATTTAAAATGAAAAATCTAATCAGGACCCTTGCCCCTAGCTACCCCGTTTCCTGCGAGACAGGCAACAAATGTCCCGATGTCGTCTGTCCTTACAAGGAATCTTTTATGCACACAACAGCATTGTATGAATGTTTTCTCTATCCTCCTTTTAAAACTGGTAGCATGGCTTACAAACCTTCCTCGTCTTTTTAAAATCAGCGTTGTTGACCTTAATTCACATGTCATACAATTCAGTCCCATTAAAGAGCTGTGCATCATGTGCATGTTAGAACATCTTCTGCCTTCTGGTACTCATTGTTGTTAGCTTCCCTTTTCCACACACCCGCTCCTGCCATGCCCCGAGGAAACTATTAATCCAATTACAGTCTATAAATTTACTATCCTGGATTTCAATAAGGAAGACGAGAAGAATTGGTGCATTTGACACCGGTGCTGGCCAAGAATATTGAAAAGACCTTGCTAAACGGACAGACTGATCTGTGGTCTGTCTTAGAGGTAATGTGGCCAGAGTGCTCCGTAGAGGCAAGGATAGTAAAGCTTTGTCTGACATACTTCAGACATGTTGGCAGGGGAGACCAGGCCCTGGAGATGAACATCACGCGTGGTGAAGTGGAGGGGCAGTGACAAGAGGAAGGCCCTGGAGGAATGGATTGACACCGTGGCTAAGACGATGAGCTCACACATAGGACCAAGTGTCAGGATGGTGCAGGACCAGGTAGGGTTTCATTCTGTTGTGCACAGGGTCCGACCAGATGGCACCTCAGAACAGCAATATCCTAGATTTCGTATACAGAAAAACATACAAAACAAAAACAAAACCCCCACAATGACAAAACAGAAAAACCTCAATTGAAAAGAAAGCAGAAAAATACTAACACTGGAACAAATTTAAAATGGATCCCCAAATGTCTGTTTTACTTTAGTATTGTTATTGGGATTTTTTGGGTGCGTTTTTCTGTATATGAAATCCAGGGTAGTTAAATCTAGAGACAGTAACTGGTTACAGGTTCCTTGGTGGTATGGCAAGGGAGGTTTGGGCAAAATGGGGAGCTAATAACAATGAGTACAAGATTAAAGAAAAGGTTCTAAAATGGATTGTGGTGATGGTTGTACAACCCTTCTTGATGTGCCTGAGTGATTGAATTGTATGATATGTGAATTATATGCCAATAAAACTGTTGGTTGGGCATGGGGGTGCGGGTGGGGGGAGCTACCATCTCAGAGTTCCACCCTGCCCTATAGGGTTGCCATGAGTCAGAATGGACTTGGTGGCAGGGAGTAACTGGAATAGGCTGGAGCACTCTCTGTGGGAGAAGTTCCCAGGTCTCTGCACAACTTGCTCCCCTTTATACACTCCCCAGCTCTCCCGCCTCCCACCCCACCTCCCACCCCCAATCCTGCACCTCCTGGACTCCCTCAGTATTCAGAGGCAAAGCGCAGTGCCCCCTAGCCTCCCCTTCGCTCTGCTCCTCACTCCCAGAAATTCAGCTTGCCAGAGTCCCCCCTGCCTTCCTGCTCCTCTCCCCACAGCCCACAGTGGTAGATCTGAAGGTAGAGCTGATCTACCCACAGTGGTAGATCTGAAGGGAGATCTGATCTACCCACAGTGGTAGATCTGAAGGGAGACCTGATCTACCCACAGTGGGAGATCTGAAGGGAGATCTGATCTACCCACAGTGGGAGATCTGAAGGTAGATCTGATCTACCCAGAGTGGGAGATCTGAAGGGAGCACTTGCAGATTTCATCTTTTTAAAACAATAATTTTATTGGGATATAATTTACATAGCATACAATTGACCTACATAAAGGGTGTTAATGTATTCACTGACGTGCACAGCCACAATCCATTTCAGAATATCTTATCACCCCCCTAAAAGAACCCGCATCCCACCAGCAGTCACTCCTCATTTCCCTTTAACCCCCTTTCCCCATCCTAGGCACCCACCAATCTCCTCTCTGCTGCTATACTTTGGTCTATCCTGAATCCTTCACATACCCAGAAACAAGCATCATGAGGGTTTTGGGTGACTAGTTTCTTTTCTTTTTTTAAAAATTTAATCATTTTATTGGGGGCTCGTACAACTCTTATATCCATCCATCCATCCATCCATCCATCCATCCATCCATCCATCCATCCATCCATCCATTGTCAAGCACATTTGTACATCTGTTGCCATCGTCATTCTCAAAACCCTTGTTTTCTACTTGGGTGACTGGTTTCTGTATGTGTTTTCAAAGTAATATTCCATTTGGGTGCATGTCACATTTCAATGATCTGATCATCGGTTGATGGGTCTTTGGGTTGTTTCCAAGTGTTAGGTATTATGAATAAGCCACTGTAACTATTGTGGAATACATTTTTTAGAATATCTTTTTGAAAAGCTTTTCATTGTGAATCAAGTGGAAGCTTACAGAGCAACCAGTTTGTATTCAACAGTTCATGCACAGTTTATTTCACCTCAAGCACTGCAGTTCCCTCCACGTGCTAACACACCCTCTTGGTGTTTCCTCCTTTCCTAACTCTCTCCACTGCGTCCTTTGGGTCTATGTTGCCCTTTTAGTCTTAAATCATCAACTGATTATTTTGTGACAAGGGTGGGTTCATGAAGGTTGACTAAGGGCATAGTCTCAGAGGGTCCCACCAATCTCTATCTGATCTCTCTTATGATTTTGCATTCCCCTCACATGTTTCTCCCGCTCTGTCCAGAACCTTCGAAGGTGATTTTTTTCAGAGCCGGTAGTGGTGGCAGTGGGGCACCACGTCGTTCTTGTGATCTCCGGGTTGTGGAGACGATGTCTGGGCAGTCCAGGAGTCCACTGGATGAGTTGTTTCCAAGCGTCTTTCCATCTGCTTCCCTCTTCTTTCCTCCAGATTGGAGAGATCCACGGTTGCACCTCAGCTGGTAGCTCACCAGCTTTTAAGAACCTGTCACTACTCGCCAAAGTAGGATGTAGACCACTGTCTTTGTGAACCATGCTATGCCAGTTGACCTTGGCGTCCCCTGAAACTAGGATCCTGACCCTCCAGGCCCAGCCACTTGGTGTTTGCTATGTCTACGAAATTTTCAGAACTTACCCCTGTATGTGCCGCCACATTCACAGTTACAATTGCAGCAAAAGAAAATAGACCTCTACAGAAAACCCTCTGTCAAAGCTGTGTGCATTTGTGGGAACACTCACACGTCTGCTCCCACACTGGTCCAGCCTCTGTGTCTGCCAAGCCCCTGCCAGTGCATCACAACTAATACACGGTTGTGTACATAACATTATTTGCCTCTGTTGCTTTGAGCTCTGGAAAGCCCCTCACTGGCTTGCCCCGCTGTCATCATTTTGTGTTGATCTCCTTCTTACATCACCTCTCCTTCACCCACATCAGCACTGAGCTACCTGCTAACCCATGACTTCCCCTCCCACCTGACCCCTCCACTCCTGGTATCTGTCAAAGAATATTTCTCTTTGTGTGAAAACCATTTCTTGACTTTTTATAACAAATGGTCGCAGACAATCTATCTGTCCTTTTGCAT